CTTGTGTGAGCCGCGGCAAGCGCAAAGAGCCAAATCTTGATGCAGATGCTGAGTTCAAGTGTCCTCGTGGTCATGGTCTCCATGTTAACACCTCAAGCCTGTCTGCGGCTGCCACCTCAGTCTTGATTCCGTTCCCTGAGCCTGGGCCTTGGTACCTAACTCTCCGTTCAGGTTGTTACCTCTCCAATGCAAGGTAGGTTGATTTATGTTTTTTGTCTGGGATTGTATATAGTGTCTGTGATTACATTTGTGATATTATCATTTCTCTCTGTGATTTTATCTACTTTCTTGCTTTAGATATGACTATTTGTACTCATATGCCTGTATTCTGGATTTCATGGTATATATAGGTCTCTTTTTATTAAACCTTGTCTCTCTCTGGTTGTAGCATTGTTTCCTCTGCTTCATACTATATAACAATAGAATCATTTGAAGTTCTTACTTCTTAAATTGAATTCTGTCTTACGAGTGTTTTTATATAGAAAGGAGTGACTTAAAGACCAGTATAGAGAGCAAAATAAATGATACAATGGATTATAAGACCATTCTCACTTTTCCTCCTTCAGTGAGGTGACCGAATGTACTGTTAATGAGACTACAGTGCTCTTCAGCATCACTTCAGCCTCGTGTCTGCATGGGAAATGTGGCAGATATGGGTCTTGCTATCAATATATTTCTGGGGGATTCATATTTTCTACTTGTGTCTGTGATGCAGGTATGTTGAAATTGAGGTGAAAGTGTTTCCTTTGAAATTCTTTATTGTTATTGTAAGTGGCATTTATTTTTATTGTGATTATCATTATCCTTATTATTATCAGTAGTAATATATCATATCATATTCATTGTCATTGTTATGGTTATACAACTCCTTTCCTTTGTTTCACATTACATTGCTTATTTAGGAAACAACAGTGTACATTTTCTGAATGTAGCATATTTGCAGGCTACCGTGGGTGGGCATGTACAGACAAATCTCAAGCCATGGCTAATTGGCAACTGATCCTGGCCACACTACTGCTTACACTGTCGAATCTCTTCTTCTTGCCGGCAATCATCCTGGCACTGAAGCGACGGTACTTTGCGGAAGCTGTCGTGTATGCCTTTACCATGGTCTTCTCAACGGTAATTTATTTTTAGTCGGAAATTGTAGATTTACTTATAAGGCATGGTTCTTTTTTTTTTTTTTTTCCTCTCTCCCTCTCTCTTTGTCTTTGTCTTTTACTGTCAATCTGTCAGTCTGTCCAGCTTTCTGGAATTCTGATATTTTATATTGAAAATACATTTGTTCTTTTGTTGGGTAGAAACATCCCATGGTAGTTTTTGCACAATTTTTTCCTCTCTCTCTTTTTCAATCAATTTATCTCCCTATATTTGCCCTTCCTTATTTACTACTTCTCCATCAAGAGAAGAGTGTTTGTATTGAAATTACTGAAATCTCTTATTCCCTTAATGAAGAGGGTGAAACTTTTTATGCCGTTTATAAAGGCATATTAGTTTTCTTTGATTCACTCATAATAATGGTAAGTAGCTGTAACACCTTTATGATATTACCAGATTGAACTGTATGAGTGAATATTCAAGATAATGTATTTTGGAAGTTATGACCACAATATAACTTTATTTTTAAATATTAACCACAGTGCAGAATAAAACACAATTTGTCATTTCCAGCCAATCACGCAGACAACCCCAATAAATATGTTCCCCTTATATCTTATCGCCCCATGGCAAGTTCTACCATGCGTGTGACCAGCAGCCGTACAACTTCTGCCTGATGCGCCTGAGTGTCATGCAATTCTGCGACTTTTATTCAGCCATCCTTTCCTTTTGGGTCACCCTCATCGCCATGGCTGACCTGCCCCACTCGCTCTACTCGTTCCTCCACGTGGCTGGTGCTCTGGTGAGACTGCGTTCTTATTTGTGAAGTTATTATTATTTTTTTTTTATTTATAAGCATAATTTAAAATGGTTTCAGGACCAGTATTAATTTCAGAATATTTTTCAGCACCAACCCATAAATAATAAGTATTCTAGTAAAATCCATAAGATCATCATCACAATATTCCATTTTATCCAGCAAATTGGCCCTTAATGTTTCTTTGTTTTAGTCACCAGTTGTTCATAATACTATTTTACTGATTAATCTTACTTCAATTACTTTTCCAACTTCATAAAAAACATACCAACAGCTTAAGTACATTGGCCTTTAATGAATGTTACAAACTGTCACCAGTTGTTAATGACTATTTTACCATTAATACTTCATTACTTTTCAGCAATCATTAAACCATAAACAGCCATTTACTGTTAACTTATTGTAAGTAAACCATTAACACTTACTTACTATGAATTGCAGTCAACCATTAAGAGACCTCTAACAACCACTGACCCTCTAAAGCAAGAGATTTCTTTTTTTCAGGTGGTTGCCTTGGGAGTGGAGTATGACCGCACGGGGCTGTGGGTGTTTGTTGTCCCTTCGGCTTCAGCCTTCTTGATAATGGTTGCCTCATGGGTGAGTTGCCAGTGCAGTAACGTATATTTCACGGCATTGCCTTGTATAGATTTTTCATTTTTGGTTTTCACCGACTTACTTTTTTAATTGTTTTGTTTTCCAAATTGATTTCCTCCATGGGGTGATAATAGTTTTGTCCTATTTTGTATGCTGCAGATGTTTTGATGCAAAAGAAAAGTGTTTAAAACAATGATGAGATATTTTCCCTTTTTCAAATAAGTTAAACATGAAAATTGCTAAAACCATCCTGGTAAAAACTGATATGATGTGGCAGACAGAATGTCTTTTCTTCTTCTTCTTCTTCTTCTTTTTCTTTTTTTTTCTTTTTTTTTCTTCTTCTTTTTTTGTTTTCTTTTTCTTCTTTTTCTTCTTCTTCTTCTTTTTCTTTCTTTTTTTTCTTCTTCTTCTTCCTCTCCTCTTCCTCTTCCTCTTCCTCTTCTTCCTCTCCTCTCTCTTCTTCCTTTCCTCCTTCTCCTCCTCTTCTCTTCCTCTTCCTCTTCTTCCTCCTCCTCCTCTTCTCCTCTTCCTCCTCTTCCTCTCTCCTCCTCTCCTTCCTCCTTTTCCTCCTCCTCTCCTCTTCCTCCTCCCCTCTTCCCTCTTCCTCTCTCCTCCTCCTCCTCTTCCTCCTCCTCCTCTACTCCTCTCCTCCTTCTTGAGATTTTAAGAAGATGAGAAATGTTGATAATGATTTAATATTGATATATAAGAAGATAAGAATTGATAACGAAATCATAGTGATAAGTAGTCAGAAATGATGAGGCTTTATCAAAAACTTCAATTTGTCCAAAAAGACTGAAAGGGCTCTTAATAAACTCCCTCACTGGATGCAATGAAAGAATTTCAGATAAAATCAAGGAAGAAGGAATTCATGAATAGTGAAATGTTTGTTTTTTCTTTCAGGTATGGCACTGCAAACACCTGCACAGCTGCTATCCAACCAAGTGGTATTGGCTGACGTGTCTCCTGCCGGGAGTGCTCCTTTCCGCCACTGGCCTCTTCTGTTATGCGTTCCTAGAGACCCATGACAACTACTACTATGTGCATTCAGTGTGGCATGCGACCATGGCCCTTGCGATCCTCTGCCTTTTGCCGCCGCGGAGAGAGAAAGATGGTAGGAGTCTTGCCTATCAGGGAAGGTGTAATTTCTGCAATTAGAGCACTAAAGAAGAATAGAGTTTACTGTACCTTTTGAGAACATTGACACAAGCACAGCACAGTAATTTTCCTTTCTTTCTTCTTTTTGGAAAGTTTTTGTCATTGACTTTCATATCATATTTTGAGTTTATTATTGAAAAGAGCATTTTTCTTTTCCTCATATTTTCCCGTTATTATTTCAGGGTGTATTTTTATTCAGTCTAGTCATTACGTTTTCAAAGATACTGTCTAGTCAGCAGCAATGATGACGGTTAATGATTTGATTTGATTATGTGTAAGATCTGACTCAAATATCAACATACAGTTGGTGCATTTAGTGTATTTCTGTGTATGTACCGATAATGATAAAAGATGAAATATACAGTACATTTACACACTCATATGTGCATGGACAGGCATGATACACTCACACTTTGATATGATATTTGGACACATGTCAGGTGTGTGTCTAAACATGTAAGCATAAAAATATATATTTTTTCAGTTTGATTTACATGTGAGTAAAATATAATTGTTACTTTTGGTGAATGTCAATAAAACAATGTAAGATTACAAAAATAATATTTTTAACAGTTTAAGATTAAAATATAATTGGAGTAAAATTAATTGATTACTCTGTGTAATTAACCACTATTATTACTCCTATTATTCTCTGATTATGAATAGAATAATGATAGTGATAAATGATAATGATATTAATGAATAGGGAATAGTAATAAGAATGATAGTTGTAATAATTATGATAGTAGTAATAATAATGATAATTATTGAAATGATGATGATAATAATTATTATGATGATGATAATGATAATGATAATAACAATGAGGATGATAATAATAGTTTTGATAATGATAATAATAATAAATAAATAATAATAATAATAAATAATAATATAATAATAGAAATAAAGATTAATGATGGTAATAGTAATAATCATAGATGATTATATAAAACTTCGTTAACAAAATCCCATTAACATAGATCAATAACTGCCGTATCTTGCTAACTATAAACTGTATCTTCTCACCATTAGATCACTAAGCTTCCATATATCACATACTTAACATTAATACGTAAGTAGAGATGCGATTCATCATGTACCATCGATAAGTCTAATAATGTACCAACGCGAATGATCACTACCTGTGGCATGATATGAATTTATATGAATAATGAGCTAATGATAGATGAGCAACAGCATATCACTACATCCCTGCACACGCATAGGTCCTTCAGTCAGTCAGTAGATAATCTACTTAAGTCTAATTTATCACAATGACCCTATAGCATGATGAAAGAGACATAACCGTATTGGTGCACATTGATATATCATTATAATAATGATAATGATGCATATTGATCATATTTATGTAATAATCGATGAATGATAATAACCTATTCGTTTGAATGATTAGCAAACGTATAAATCACAATTAACTAACATATAATCTGAATACACAATCGGCAACGTAACTGGCATTACATGAATCTAATTAAAGATGATTAATTCAGGGGATAATCGATAATTGAATCTCATATAAGTTCCGAATCCGATGACTGATGATAATGATAAGTAAAGATGAATGAAAAATAAGCTATAACTATAATAAAAAAATCGGTGTGATGCATAGATGAATGACAACATAATTAATTAACATACATAATAATATATGTATTATTCTTGTGACTTATCTTACTAATAATTTCAATATCATCTACAATCCCTCACTCTTATATTATTATTCATTACTTGCTCACTGTTATCTATTTTTGTGATGTTTCATACTATGATTGTATTATCAATTTATTTAGTAATATTCAGCTGTTCTGCGGGGGAGTGGTGGGTCCACAATAAGTATTATATTATTGGATATTGCGTAATAATATCATTATTCCTGAATATATTATCTTCATTAACTGTTGATTATTGTTTTGTATTCTGACTCCACTTCTTGTTTACGTGTTTATCCTCTTATCTACTTGTTACGTATTATTGTTATATCTACAATGATCAGTATTCGTTACCTACTTGATATCAATAGAACCATCTATCATCATTTATATTCTTCGTTACTCGATTACTTATTTTTATTATTATTATTCTATTATTATTATTTATTATTATTATCATTTATTATTATCTGACTTTTTTTTCATTTGTATATTTATAATCTGATTATTGTCGATCATCTTTATTACTTGATAATGATAATGTATAACAAATAATAAGCAATAAGTGAAAGAACTCACATAGCACTCAATGATGTATATTAATAAATTAACCTGCTCAATCATAATAGTAAGAAATAACTAAATAATAAATACATTGCGTAGATAATGATAATAAATAACTTCACTACCTACTACTTCACTACTAATAATGAAAATAACAATAATACATGATAATATTCATAATCAAAATATTATAATTGTAATATAATTTATAATTATTATATTATATATTGTTTTATTATTATTATTGTTATTATTATTATTATATTATTATTATTTATTATTATTATTATTATTTATTTTATATTCATTCAAGAATTTATATTATTATTATTTATTATTATTATCAACAATTGATTTATTGATGATGATTAGTATTAATTATTATCATTATTATTATTATTATTATTATTGTTGTTGCTGTTGTTGTTGCTGTTGTTGTTTTCATTATCATTATCATTATTGCTATTATTATTTCTAATTAATAATATTAGTAATAGTGATAATAGAAATAATAATGATAATAATCAATACTCATAATAATAATAATAATAATGAGATGATGATAATAATAATAATAGTTGTTAATGCTAATATTATTTTTTTTTTATTATTATTATTATTATTATTATTATTATTATTATTATTATTATAACATTATAATTTATTATATTTTTTATTATTATTTGTATTATTATTATATTATTATATACTATTGTTATTTTGTTTGTTATTATTTTATTATATTATTATTACTATTTATGTTAATTATTATTTATATGATTATCATTAGTATTCTTTTACTTTGTTGCTTAGCTTTGAAGATAATATACTGGTTTCCGCTTCACAACCCTGTGAACACCGACTGAGCATCATTTTTGAATGACATATTGGTCCCCCTCCCCCTTGGTGCATCTTGATTGGTTTCTGATGTGAAATGCCCTTTTTTTTTCTTTTCTTTTTTTTTAAACTTTTACAGAGAGAGGCGATGGTGAGGAGGTGGAGCCACTGCCTGTTTGCGAGGCCCAGCCCCACTTTATAGAGGCACAGGCGTACTCTCCTGTCCCCTAGGCCAACCACCCAAAGTCTCGCTCGTCCCCAGATTCCCCGCATTGCTCTGTCCCACGTGCGACTTCCCTTCCCAGACCTCCCCCTCTGCCGGTATCCCGTGCCACTTCTACGCCACATCCTACTCTCCCTTGTCTGTCCCTGATGTGGCTCTCGATATATCTCCCTTACCTTTTCTTTGTTTTCCTCCCCATTCTGCTCTCAAATTTGGGCCCCCCCTCATTCTCAAATTCCCGGTTCTTGCTTTTCATAGCAAATGTATTGCAGTCCATCGGATATTGGGTATTAAATTTTATGCCGTATACGGTAATGATTACATCTAGTGCATTCATAAACTGTGGAATTTTGTTGATTTTTAGACATACTGATACACAGTTTTCTTGTGCACACACACACACACACACACACACACACACACACACACACACACACACACACACACACACACACACACACACACACACACACACACACACACACACACACACACACACAGCACACAACACACACACACGCACTCACACGCAGACTCACACGCAGACACACACACACACCACACACACACACACAACACACACACACACACACACACACACACACACACACACACACACACACACACACACACACACACACACACACTCACACACACACACACACACTCACACACACACACACACACACACACACACACACACACACACACACACACACACACACACACACACACACACACACACACACACACACACACACACACACACATTCACATGGTAGTTTCTTTTAAAGTTAGCATGTAAATATTTATCAGCTGTTTCCTTTATTGTTCATGTCACAATTGAATGTTACTTTGGTATTAAAACCAAATATTTGTAAAATAGTAACAGAGTGTGGTGGGCTCTCACATGTGATTTATACAAGTAAACATTTTCTACTACCTCAAAGAAAAAAATATCCCTTCTCTGTGAAACTTCCGTTGGTCTCAGCGCTACCTAGGACTAAGTTCCTGTAAACTCATGTCTCCATTTCTTGCTTGTCCTAGTTTTGTATTTGGCAGAGCTGATGATTTTGAATGAATATGCCAGGTATAACAGTTGCAATTTCCATGATAAGATACTATATAAGACATGACTGACTGTTCACATGTCTATTAAAAGAATTTAGTGTGTAAGCTACAGTATTTTGTAGATGGAAAAGTACAAAGGCCCATATTTTGTCCATTTTTATATTTTGTCAGAAGTTATGTTCTTTTGTAGAGTAAGTATGATAACTCAGTATTAGCTTGTCACTAAAATAGACCTGAAAAGGTCAAGGGTGTCAGTATTTAAAAGGTACTCAATTATTTCTTTTTGTAAATATGCCATATACCCAGAAAGGAACAGCTTAATTATAAACTTAATGACTAAAAAAAATAACTAAGAACTACTAAAGTATCAGGAGTGTTGCCCTAATCCGCTAAAGATTTTTTGCATCCTGTACTCAAAACAAACCTTGATCTGGCTGGGTCGGTCACCACAGTTGGCAGGCCTCCTCACCAATGGCTTTCGGTATGTCTCCACCCTCTGACAGACATTTTCATCCTAAATTCCAGGCTTCCTCTCTGTGACCCACCCAACCTCGGAGCCTAACCTACAGGCCTACAGGATAACCACTTTGCATGCTTCCTCACCCTAATGTGGAGTGGCTTACCCTTTATCCTCCATGAGCTAGTAGAGGGCAGATGGTGCGGCCTGGCTCACTCATCCTTTCCTGCGAAACCGCTCGGCTTGCATGGCTTGTTGGGGGGAATGCCTCCTTTCCTGCAGGTGGTAGAGGGGTCAGGTAGTTAGGGTGGCTGCCTTGTCTCCAAGAACCTGGATCTCTTGAAGGTGGCTAGGCTTCTCTTGAGTGGTGGTGCTAACACTGCTGTTTGCTCTCCAGTCTCCCAGTTTTTTTTCTCATAATTAACTTACTACTGTCCCATGTTGATGAAACTTCATCACTCTCTGTTTTCTCTTCTCTCCGTTTCTCTTCTCTCCGTTTTCTTTGTCTCTCCGTTCTCCTCTCCATTCCTCTGTCTTCTATCTCGTCTTCTCTCTCTGTCTGTCTCCGTTTCTCTCTGTCTCTGTCTTTCTCTCTGTCTGTCCATTTCTCTGTCTGTCTGTCCGTTTCTCTCTCTGTCTGTCCGTTTCTCTCTCTGTCTGTCCGTTTCTCTCTCTGTCTCCGTTTCTCTCGTCTGTTTCTGTCTGCCATTTTCTCTCTCTGTCTGTCTTTCTCTCTCTCTGTCTTTCTCTCTCTCTCTCTCTCTCTCTCTCTCTCTCTCTCTCTCTCTCTCTCTCTCTCTCTCTCTCTTCTCTCTCTCTCTCTCTCTCTCTCTCTCTCTCTCTCTCTCTCTCTCTCTCTTCTCTCTCCTTCTCTCTTCTCTCTTCTCTCTCTCTCTCTCTCTCTCTCTCTCTCTTCTCTCTCCTCTCTCTCCTCTCTCTCTCTCTCTTCCTCTTCTCTCTCCTCCTCTCCTTCTCTCTCCTCTCTTCCTCTCTCTCCTCTCTCTCTTCTCTCTCTCTCTCTCTTCTCTCTCCTCTCTCCTCTCTCCTGCTCTCTCTCTCTCTCTCCTCTCTCTCTCTCTCTCTCTCTCTCTCTCTCCTCTCTCCTCTCTTCCTCTCTCTCTCCTCTCTCTCTCTCTCTCTCTCTCTCTCTCTCTCTCTCTCTCTCCTCCTCTTCTCTCTCTCCTCTCTCTCCTCTCTCTCCTCTCTCTCCTCTCCCTCCCTCTCTCTCCTCTCTCTCCTCTCTCTCCTCTCTCTCTCTCTCTCTCTCTCTCTCTCTCTCTCTCTCTCTCTCTCTCTCTCTCTCTCTCTCTCTCTCTCTCTCTCTCTCTCTCTCTCCTCTCTCTCTCTCTCTCTCTCTCTCTCTCTCTCTCTCTCTCTCTCTCTCTCTCTCTCTCTCTCTCTCTCTCTTCTCTATATCTATATCTCTATAATATATATATATATATATATATATATATATATCTATATATTATATATATTTATATATCTTATCATATTTATCTCTCTCTCTCTCTCTTTTTCTCTGTCACCATATTGTCTCTTGCATCTCTCTCATTTCCTCTCCAGCTCCTCTCTCTTCTCACTTCTCTGTTTGTATTGTATATTCAGCCAGTTACTAACCCTTTCATTGAAAACAATACTTTTTGTACTCTATTTAGACAAAATAAAATCTCCAGGTGAAGTGTTTTCATTATGGCATAAAATTTTTAATCACAGGACGATCCAGCATATAGATATAGAAGTGAAACTGTAAAAATGTATATGTTGTTATTTTTAGATTCAAAGCGTTTTCAGTCAAATAGAAATGGTTATTTGCTATTTACTGCTTGATTTTTAATAGGAGTTATATGACCTTTTTTGTATTTATTGTACATAGAAAAAATGCTTAGAATTAGGAATATTTTTTCTGCCAGTATGTGAGCAAAGTACCATCTTGGGTACATCGATTGCAGCAACTGGACCTGTCTTGTAATGAGGCCGACAAAGAATTTAACAAGATGCCAAAATGAGAACAGACAAGTAACTGTTTAGTACCCAAAGACTAAAAAGTACAATGTGTGATGTAATTAGCTATTTTGAGCTTTCATGTAACATATAGGTTAAAAAAAAAAGGGACTCAGGGAGACAGAAGGGTGAAAGTTAGTTGAAGAATTGATGCCCTAAGTGTGATTGCAGTCGTCCCTCCATCCTCCCTTCCCTACCCCCACTTTATAAAGTACAGCATAACCAATGTAAGTCTTGTCATCACAGGCAACATCAGAATAGCATATGTCATCACACATATCTGTTGTCCATCTTTGGTCTCAATAGTGTTCAATGAACATTCCATCCACAGGCTTGCTTAACCCAGACTAGTTTAGTTGCTTGGAAATGTTAGCATAAGAAGGAATGGATGTAGGATGACAGCATTGTCTTTTTTCTCTCCCTCTCTCTTTTTTCAGTTAGATCAGTTGTTTGTAACTTGGCTGCAGATCCAAGACCTAGGTAATCTGTGAGCTGCAGGATTTACCAGCAAAGATTTTCTCTTGCTATTTACTAACACCTGAACTGCTTTATATCTTGCTAGTCTGATATGATGAATGGATTGATCGGGAGGCTTCTGATGCAGCCGGCATTTTGGATTTTTGAAAATGTTGACACGTTGCCTACAATTGGTGTTTTGATGTCTGTAGTGGACTTTTAGAAAATATTGCCTAATAGATGTAGTTTTCTACTTATGATTTATACATTTTCCTTGTAAACAAAAAAGAGAGGATAAATAGGCCTGCAGTTTCGACTGTGATTTTATTATGGTTATAATTTTCTAGATATATACAGAGATTTATATTGTTGTTTGTAGACACAGCCAAAGCTGAAAAAGTGTATGTCTCACAAATTACAGTATACTTTGTAGTCATACTGACGAAATGTAAACATGTTCTGTGTGTGAATAACTGAACAGAAAGTATGAATTTAACCTGTATATGATAAGTTCCATCAGTCCTTTATTTCTGTATGCTTTCTGGTAGCCTGGGAAGAGTCCTCTATGAATTAATAATTGATTTTGAGTGATATGGGGTGATTCAGAACTCCTTGCTAACTACCTGTACTAGTCATTTGAACAGTATCAAATAGTTTTGATGATTATGAACTACAAGATCACAAAGCTTATGTGTAGACTGATCATTGTATGTGAGATTCAATGAGATGTGATAGAAACCCAGGCCTACCAAATGGGCATTAAGTTTAGGCATTAAATCTTATAAGCATTCATATATTCATTATTTATTTATGTGCACCATTATGTACCTGCCTCATGGAGTCATTCTTGTGTAAACAGTCAAAAGTGCACATATTTTACACACACACACACACACACACACACACACACACACACACACACACACACACACACACACACACACACACACACACACACACACACACACACACACACACACACACACACACTCACACTCACACTCACACTCACACTCACACTCACACTCACACTCACACTCACACTCACACACTCACACTCACACTCACACTCACACTCACACTCACACTCACACTCACACTCACACTCACTCACACACAGAGAGCAGGTATGTCCACACCTACATAAAAAGCATGTACAGACATGACACACATATGATCAGGTGCTTATAATTATGTAAGTGTGCGGAAATAATTCCACTCTTTGGAGCAAAGCAAAGATTCACTCTCACAATCTCCAGCCACTGCCTGTTTCTTAAACTCAATCTCTAATCTAGTAAAGGTAGGCACTCACAAAGAGCATTTAATATTCATAATAGATAAATAAATAGATAAATATATATATATATATATAATACATATAAGTATATATAAACCATTTAATCTTATTTTTTTTTAATGATCAGTGTTGGTAAGCAAACAACTGTCAATGATTTTATGGATAAAATAAATTTCTTCTTGAACAGCCTGTTTTTATTTACACATACATTCAGGACTGGGTCGTAGTAGCTGAAAAGTGCATTTGAGTTA